AAAATTACATTCGAAATATTATATTAATTGAAAAAAAACCATACCTCATCAGGGATCGAACCCCGAACCTTTAGATTAGTAGGACAACGCGTAACGCTTTAAGCCACGAGACCACATCCATTTAGTTTCGATAACCTGGCTTATATACTTAACGTTGTGCCTCTTGTGATATAAACAATAATTATAATGAATGTATTGGCAGACGGCTGGATACTAATAATAATATTATTGGCATATTTTGAAGAATTATCAAAAACAATAAAAAATAAATTGTTGCATATTTAAAAAAGACCTATTTTTATCTGTAAGATTAGAGAAAGTATAGTGCTGTAAAGTATTTTCTCCATGGTAATGATTTATACATTCGTGAAAAAACTGTTTTCCTCATTTATTTGTTTAAATAGAAAAGTTAGCTAATAAAAGTACTTGACTCACTATATGAGAGGTGTTTTGTATTATGTTCCTTTAGACAATTTTACAATAATCTCGCGGATAGGACTTTTTTCGAGTAAAAATTTAATTTGCTTGGTCTAATTGATGCAGACAGAGGAAACGTGAATTGCAAATTTGTTTTATTAATAGAAAGTTTATAATGCCAAATGGGTAAAAGTGGCGGTTTCCGTGTTGGGTAACTATTGATTTAAGTAGTTGCGGCATGAATATATGTTTACCGATTGAGTTATCCAATGCAGTCATCGATTATCATTTTAATTTTTAATAAAAAAAAGTGGTTACAATAACATGCTTTTGGTGTTTTGCTGTGAGAATGAGATAATTATTTTAGAAGCCTTTACCCATTTATCTTGTATATTAATTATCTGTGGGATAATGTAAAATATACTGCCATAAAGCAATTAATTGCTGCCTAAATTAGGTACCAGCGAGGAAATACTGTGTAATTTACGTCGGCTTAAATTTCTAATATTAGAATAGGAAAGGAGTCGCGACACTAAGTACCGGTAGAAGCGACAAAGTGTGACCGAACGAAATTTGTGTAGAGCCATTTACACCAGGAAAATTAGCGAAAATAAAAGAGAAACTCGAAAATAGTCTTATCCGCTAGATTATTGTAAAATTGTCTAAAGGAACATAATACAAGACATCTCTCGTCTCGTGAGTCAAAAACTTTTATTAGCTAACTTTTCTATTTAAACAAATAAGTGAGGAAAACAGTTTTTTCACTTTGCAGGGAAAACCATCAATTTTAGCGAAAAGTGACTCTCAGACAGCTTATAGGGAGTAAAATTATCTACAAAATGAGACTTGTTAAATTAAAATCGGTTAATAAACAAAAAAGTTATTGCAAAAAAACAAGAAAAGTGCCCATTTTTTAATTTGTTTATAACTATCGCATTTATTGTTAAAATTTTATAAAACCTATGACAAGTTGAGGGTTTTGTCATACTTTAAAAGTGTGCCAAAAGTGGGCGCTGTAGGTGCAATAGTTTTCGCACAATTCTATTTGTTTATAGCGGAGGCTCCAAAAGTTATGAACTTTAAGCCTCTGTACAGACGTTAATTTTCAATCAAACATGATTCTGAAAGCGTCATTGTAATCTTAAAGACGCAATTAAGCGACCTATTAAAAAATATCACCGTTTTTTTGACATTAACATTCTCAAATTGTGCATTAAAAAACCGTGCGTTTTTCGCTTATAAACAATTTGAATAACATTGTTGCTATTTATGCTATCTCACCGAAAATAGGTGCAATGGATAGCTGGAAAAAAAATACAGTTTTAAAATAAAAAAAGTGCCCTCTACGACCAACAGGAGCCAAGATAAGAATCTTTTTTTAAAAAATCGTAGCGCAATTGTTTATAAATATTAAGACTTGAATTTTTCGCAAAATAAAGTTTACGACGTAAACTACGATTTCCCGTGAATTGCATTGAAAAATGTGGAAAATTAACGACTCACGAGCCCTTTAAAGAGAAGGTACTCGCTAAGTAAACTGTCCGGCGTGATGATGGGGGAAGCTCGTCCAATCGAGTCGCGCGCGCGAAAAAAGTGAAATCCTATTCATCGTAGAAACTTTTTTTTTTTAAACTGGGGTAGCTCGACGAAAAAATAACAATGGGCATATTTACGAATTCGTAGAATAGCCCTGAACCCCAGAAAAAATGCATCTTTTATAATTAATTTTTTTTAATTTACAAAAATGTCACAAAAATTATTGTTAAACGAAATATTAATTAAAATTTCAATTTCGGAATTATTTTACTATTATTAAATAAATAAATGAAGCTATCGTTCATTTAAAAAGTTATTTTTTTTACATATTAAGGCAAAGTAAACTTGTTTTTTCAATATTTTGTTAGCTATTTAATTACGATTTAAATGTAAAATTAAAGTAAAAATTCATAAATTATTTTCAAATTATTATTTCTCATAAAAATAGAAAAAATTTTAAATTTTAAATTGTATTATATTGCATTATTTATATCTATTATTGAAAATGGTTGTGATTAATATTTTTTGAATTAATTTTGATGTTGCAATTTTTTTTTTAATTTATAATTAATATAATAAAAAAACTTTATATATTAAAATTTCAAGGAGTTAAAATTGTAATTTTATCGACCGCATTATTTTTATTAATATTTTTTAATTTTGAGAATTTTGCAATAAATTCAAATGCTTTTTATTCTTTTTTAAATCTTTTAACAATAAATAATAATTTGAAAATAATTTGTGAATTTTTACTTTAATTTTACATTTAAATCGTAATTAAATAGCTAACAAAATATTGAAAAAACAAGTTTACTTTGCCTTAATATGTAAAAAAAATAACTTTTTAAATGAACGATAGCTTCATTTATTTATTTAATAATAGTAAAATAATTCCGAAATTGAAATTTTAATTAATATTTCGTTTAACAATAATTTTTGTGACATTTTTGTAAATTAAAAAAAATTAAGTATAAAAGATGCATTTTTTCTGGGGTTCAGGGCTATTCTACGAATTCGTAAATATGCCCATTGTTATTTTTTCGTCGAGCTACCCCAGTTTAAAAAAAAAATAAGTTTCTACGATGAATAGAAGCCGAGATATAGCAAAATTTAGAGCGCGCACCTATTTAAACTTTGGATTTAACTTTTCTCGCCAGCGCTACCGCTTGGACGAGCTTCCCCCACCACCACGCCGCCGGCCGCCGGACAGTTTACTTAGCGAGTACCTTCTCTTTAAAGGGCTCGTGAGTCGTTAATTTTCCACATTTTTCAATGCAATTCACGGGAAATCGTAGTTTACGTCGTAAACTTTATTTTGCGAAAAATTCAAGTCTTAATATTTATAAACAATTGCGCTACGATTTTTTAAAAAAAAATTCTTATCTTGGCTCCTGTTGGTCGTAGAGGGTACTTTTTTTATTTTAAAACTGTATTTTTTTGCCAGCTATCCATTGCATCTATTTTCGGTGAGATAGCATAAATAGCAACAATGTTATTCAAATTGTTTATAAGCGAAAAACGCACGGTTTTTTAATGCACAATTTGAGAATGTTAATGTCAAAAAAACGGTGATATTTTTTAATAGGTCGCTTAATTGCGTCTTTAAGATTACAATGACGCTTTCAGAATCATGTTTGATTGAAAATTAACGTCTGTACAGAGGCTTAAAGTTCATAACTTTTGGAGCCTCCGCTATAAACAAATAGAATTGTGCGAAAACTATTGCACCTACAGCGCCCACTTTTGGCACACTTTTAAAGTATGACAAAACCCTCAACTTGTCATAGGTTTTATAAAATTTTAACAATAAATGCGATAGTTATAAACAAATGAAAAAATGGGCACTTTTCTTGTTTTTTTTGCAATAACTGTTTTGTTTATAAACCGATTTTAATTTAACGGATCTCATTTTGTAGATAATTTTACTCCCTATAAGCTGTCTGAGAGTCACTTTTCGCTAAAATTGATGGTTTTCCCTGCAAAGTGAAAAAACTGTTTTCCTCACTTATTTGTTTAAATAGAAAAGTTCGCTAATAAAAGTTTTTGACTCACGAGACGAGAGATGTCTTGTATTATGTTCCTTTAGACAATTTTACAATAATCTAGCGGATAGGACTCTTTTCGAGTAAAAATTTAATTTGCTAGGTCTAATTGGTTTGAGGTCACAAAGTGAAAACATTGTTCGATTGAATTAAAATTAATAGCTACCATAAGCTGTAAAAGAATAAGTAACAAAAATTAGAGCAGAATCAAACTGACAGTAATCCATGAAGTCAATGTCAAATCATTAGAGAATCTCAGGAACCGCTAGATGGCGTTGCAAAGTTCAAGATGTCGCAAGAACATCTACAACAGTTGTGCTTTGAGTTCAATTTCCATTTAGGATAACAAAACAAGCATTTTTAGGCATAACAATGAAGAGTTACCCATCTGGAATATATAGTTTTGCCTTCATCGACTCACCTGAAACAAACTTGCCGTCAGATCTTCCAACTCGGCCTCCACGTCCTGCCTGATCCTGCTGAGCCTCGTCAATTCCTGATCCCTCAACTTGAGCTCCTTATTGGCTTCCTTCAGCTCGTTCTGCAGCCTGAGAAAGGCCTGTTCCTTGACCTCCACCACGGACCTAGACCAGTCGATCTGATCGCCGCTAGCACCGCTCTTGGTGTCGCTGTCGTTGTCCTTCATCTCATACCCGGATATCTCGTCGTAAGCGGCGAGCTCATCAGTGCATTTCTCAATGCCCAGGTCGCTGTACACCGAACTGTCCGAGCTGTTCCTGTGCATCACACCCAGGTGCCTAACCTTATCGGTTATGGTGGCGATGTCGGAGAAGGAACCGAAGGTGCCGGGGTCGTGGTCGTTGAAGAGCTTCCTTGTGACGTGGTCCCTGATGGTGATGTCCGGCTCGTCGATGTCGACGTTGTCTTCTTCGTCGGTGGTGTAGGACTCGTCGCCCGTGGTGCCGGTGGACCCGGCTCGTTTGTGTTTGAGGAGGTTCCCCACGGTCTTGGGCACCATCAAGAGGCCCTCGGTGATCGAGCCCTTCTTGGTGTTGGGTGGTTCGCTGCAGGCGCTTTCCTGGTCGCCCTTCATCGTGGCTTGTTACCTGGACGAGGCGTAGGACATCACAGGATCTGGAAAGAGAAACATGTTTGGGTTGAAACGGTGTCTGCGGAAACGTCATTTTTTTAAGTCAGTGTCAAAGTGCATTGGAACTACGCAAAATTGGGATTAGAGCTATTAAATACAGAGTAAAACTTTAATGATCACTTGAAAAGTAATTAACAAAACTAACTGTCTTCTAGTTTCATAAACTTAGAGATTCGCAGTTTTTTAGAGTGTTGTGGTAAAAGTGATGGCTGCAGTTATTTCTCAAGTGTTATTTATGCTTAGTGGCAACAGCCGCTATCTGTTGAACATCCATCAGCGTAAGATACGGGAATATTAGATTGAAAGACCCACCCCAATGACTCCGTGACTCATGTAAAGTAGCGCTCTTGGGATCAATATCGGGGGGGCGACCTCCTGCAACCCTCGAGAGGGTGTGTTATTTATAGCATAATAAATGGATGTTAAGGCCGGTACATTTTTTTACCAGCCGCCCCGAAAGGCTTTGAAACGCTTCAGGGAAGCCATAAATCAGAAAGTCGTTAGGTGTGAAGCAATGGCTATGGCTTAGAGTTGATTTTGCGCTACCTATTAGGTAGTTCATTTGCGCTAATAGGCTAGGCTAACTAGGATATTGTTTTGTCCGACATTCTCGGGATAGAAGTAACAATCCATGCTCTCAGATAATTTTAAAATCGTGATCCCCATTATTATTCTATTTCTTAAAAAAGTGTGACTGAATAAATGTTATTCTCGTTGTTATTTACACACGTGTAGAGTTCGTAATCCAAGGTCTTTAGAAATCTCAAACAATCACTAATATTTTTTTAAATGTAGATGCTATTGTTACAAATAAACCAACGTGTTTTTAGTTTTCGTAATATTCCTTTCTGCAGTAGCGTAGTAACATTTGAAAATTAGGAGTTAGAAATAACATTTTTTGTGTATTTTTAAAACTAAAAGGTTAGTAACATTATTAATTATTTGTTCTCACGAAAAATTGTGTGTCTATTAATTTCAATAAGTTACACTGAATACAAACAAAAATAAATGTAAGCAAAACCACGAATTTCCATTTCCCAGAATAAATAGATTAACTAGAACCAACTTGCCCACCCACTGCGAAAGATCACGAGCCGCCGCTGCGTATTTGCTTGGAACCCGCAGAGGTTTACTACACATTTATTTTAGATATGAATAAATAATATCAAGACGGGCGTATTCTTGCCAGAATTTCTAAAAATACAATTCGCGTGTTCCCCGTTAGCCCAGCGTTATTATTAATTCTCGGAAGCTCGAGCGGGGTCAGATTTGCTTTTAGCATGCAAATTGATTCCGGCAATGGCCAAATTGATCTGATAACGCTTGAGTTATGACATATACAACTCGTTTGTAATTTAAAAAGCAGCAAATAGCCGCAGGTATGGCATTCGCTGCGCGTATATCATATTCTTGAGACATTGTTAAAGTCGTGCAATTCTGACATCGCTATGTTGTGCTTTCGTCGTTATCTTGACGAATATAAACCACCAGCCTGCAATCACCACATCGTGGGTGGATAGGAAGGGAAACTCTTTCTCTTCGCCCTCAAAATTAACACTATTTAGAGTTTCTCTTGTGTTAAGGTAGGCAAAAATCGATTGGATCACACCCGCAATATCTAACAAACAGGACCACCAGACATATACCGGTTTTGAGCTTAGGAAATGTTGGGAAAATTGTAGGTATCAAACTTCCTTGAAAATAATTCTAATTTGTTACGGTGCAACTAGTAATGAATTTTGTTTAAAGAAACACCATTAAGGATGAGACGCTATTGTTACTTAATATAATTACATAGGTGTAGTAGCCATAGTGGGTATAATTACGAAAATATAAAATTTTTTTATATAATTATGTTTATCTTCGAGTTATAAACCTGTTTTTAAACATTGAGCATGAATTTTATGACTTGTTTAAATAAATGTTCGATGGGTATTGTTGTTTGAAAGAAAATCTACCATATTTTGATTTAAAATGTTTACCCTCTCACTCTCAGGTCTTGTATTATTTGAAACAAAACAAGATGATCTTTATAGTTGTTTTTTCTAGTCCGGAGCAGAATTTTTGATAATAACATGATGTAAAACTGTATCCTTTATCTGCTTTAATAAAGATACGGAAGAATAACAATCGTGCGAATGAAATTTATGTCATCCAGATTACTTTTATGATTTGTTTTTTGAGGTTCTATGGATTTTTTACTGTTTAGTTATTGGGCAGTGCCAAGAATCGCAAAATAAAAAATACATAATATTGCAGCAATATTTTTTAAGCTAACAAAAAATTTGTATAGGATTGTTTAGGGAGATACTTTTTATCCTTTTCAGTATTTATTAGCCGTACTGTAAGATTAAAATTTAGCCTCGTTTTTTTAGATAACTGCTCCACATCTACATTTCTGATTAATTTGTTTAAATATGTGCCACAGTTTAAAACGATAAGGATAATAATTAATCATTTGAAACAATGATACCAACATATAAATATCGTTTACGTCAACTAATCTGTAGATAGTATGCATATTGTTTCTCGTGCATATATGACTTTGTACCTTCTAAATATATTTAATGCAAGAAAAAACCTATTTTGTTAAGAGATAATTGTTTTAAATATTTATCGCCTTCAATGATGCGCAATTTGCTGGGATCGATTTCGACAAATCAACCAAATTCCTAAGCAAGAATTTAAATTGATAACCACCTCCTTTCTAACAATACCAGAACAATTCTTTAGCTTTCATTTTCTGTAAAATTCGTCCACTTTCTCTTCTTGTTACGCTGTTCGTTGCTATTTTAGCCTGTATTGGCAATAATCGCGAAGACCAAGCTCGATTTTGATGTTACATTTTGCCACGAAGACCGTAATCTAACACTTATTTATTTGCATGTTAATTGGCGCGTGGCACCCAGTTCAAGCCTCCTATTTTTTTAATCTACATAGAGTGAAAACAACCCGCGGCGACTGTGTGCCAGTTGCCGTGTCAAAAGTGAAACTTAGGTTTTGTGGAACGACACAGAAATTTAATAAACGATTTGCAAGTGCATTGTTTGTCGGTTATAATTATATAAATCGTTCGTTATTGTTGAAATAACAATTACGGCGTATTGTATTTACGATGCAGGTTTGCTATTGTTCGAGTTTTTAGGTCTAGCCATGGTCGGACTGGCCCGATATGCCAAGGGGCCCTTCGAAGATTCAGAGGCGTCAGATGACTCGTGTCTTAATTCGTTTTTTTTTCGGTGTCGTACTGTCGTAACTCATCGTTACAAGTTAATCGAGGGTTACGCAGGAGTCAAGAAAAAAACGGCTTTAATTGAGAAGACGCGAGGGTTTAATAGCCTCAGTTATGTCCTCATTAAGTGGAAATATTCAGAAAGTCCGCATAGCAGGGCGCAATATCTTCTAGTTTGCGGTCGAAATGAAGTTTGCATCACGTGGAATTCGGTGAACGTTACACAACCGCTAAGGTGCGGTGTCTCCTTGTGTATTTCATTTTTGTACGCTAACAATCGAAAAGGATATGGTATAAGGAGTGTCTACAATGCGTGGTAAAGGAGAAAAAAGTTTTTTATCACTTCTCTTCCAATAAACGCTTAATGTTTAAAGTAATATGTAATGGTCCCTCCGGATTTTGCGCATCTTTAGAATCTACTCATCTCAGAAGAGTTGTTGACCCGCAGTATGATAGTTGATAAACGTGTTGGGACTGTTGGGCAACCTCAGTCTAAATTTTGATGAATTCGGGAAGCTCCTTCGAACGCAGAATGAATTTTGGAATTTAACAATTATGACATAAGTGACTGAATAAAGTTTAAAGAAAGACTTATAGAACTCATATTATACTAAATTTTTAACTGTCTCAATTTTGTTATAGTTTGCCCTCGATCTAACGTACTAAACATATTTAGCGTGGTATTAAACACTCATTATAACATTTTATTCCATCTGATGCAACTATATGTCAGCAATCGTCTCCTTTCTTATATAAAGCATTGTTTTCCATATATATCTTCAACCATATTCATATTCTATATATTATTACATACATATGCAACATATGTACCACGGAATACAAATGTCCTTTTTACGCGGTCGTTGTTTGGTGTTAATATTTTTATTTACATACCGCTCCCTATTGGATATTGATTGATCGCAGAAAATATGCCATTGAATGTTTAGAGTTTGCTACATGCATATTTTAAGGCGGCATTCCGCAGGCATACAGGGTGATTTTTAAAATTACAAACATTTACCAACATGTATTTTTTTAAATACATCCATCCAGTTGTACAATTTGAAAACCGTTGTCCGCATGGAAGGTAATCGTATATAATATAGGCCAAGCAAATAAAATTTTTACTCGAAAAAAGTCCTATCCGCGAGATTATTGCAAAATTGTCTAAAGGAATATAATACAAGACATCTCTCATCTCGTGGGTCAAAAAATTTTATTAGCCAACTTTTCTATTTAAACAAATAAGTGAGGAAAACAGTTTTTTCACGAATGTATAAATCATTACCATGGAAAATACTTTACAGCACTATACTTTCTCTAAACTGACAGATAAATAGGTCTTTTTTAAATATGCAACAATTTATTTTTTATTGTTTTTGATAATTCCTCAAAATATGCTAATAATATTATTACTGGTATCCAGCCGTCTGCCAATGTATTCATTATAATTATTGTTTATATCACAAGAGCCACAACGTTAAGTTTATAAGCCAGGTTATCGAAACTAAATGCACATGGTCTTGTGGCTTAAAGCGTTACGCGTTGTCCTACTAATCTAAAGGTTCGGGGTTCGATCCCTGATGAGGTATGGTTTTTTTTCAATTAATATAATATTTCGAATGTAATTTTTCATCGTCCACATTTCAAGACAAATATTTCCGCACCAGTTGCTGGTCACGAAGTGAATAATTTCTCACAGTGTTGCCAAATATCTGCTGATTCGAGGCGCGCTAGATTGCTTGTTAAATT